TGGGATGGTGAGCTGCCAGGCACAGCCTGTCCTCTCTGGTCAGGGCGGTGGGGAGGTGAGAGGGGGGTAACTCGCTACTTTAGTCCAGCGAGTCAGCCGGGAGCCCGTGGGGAAGCTCCGCTCGCACCAGCAGGGCGTCCTTCTAATGTCTGCTCAGGGCCCTGCTCTTCCCACCGAGCTCAGCATCCCTGCTGCCACGCGAGGCGTCTTCATGTCCGCCTTTTTATTTTGGGCTAGAAAGTGGGTGGTTATTTGGGTGAGCCTCGCTGATGGGGAAATAGGGGGAGTGAAGAAGGAAGCTGATTCTTTGTCTCCGTAACTGGCAGCGGAGGGCCTGTTCCCGGCCCTGGCTCAGAGGCGCCCCGCGTGGGCCGGTTTGTCAGGGAGGCCCTCCTGCGTCACCGTAAGCCAGCTGTGCTTCTCATCATTCTGGCGCAGACTGAAGTTGTACACTGTGCCTGTCCTGTACTTGGAAAGCGTTTTACTCCAGCAGATCAGTAGCACCCCGGGAACCCACCATCGTTCCTCTCCGTGTCCCCGTTCCTGCGCCCTCCTGCCCCGTCTCTGGGAATGTAATTCTGTTGTGCCTTTGTTTTCGTCACCTGCCTCCCCCTAAAAGCAACTGCTGTAAGCTTTTTTCCTACTTGTCTTTTCTAGCCCAAGCCCCACCTTTTTCCTTTTTTCCCGGCTGTCATCTCTGGGTGCAGTTTCTGTGCTCCAGGTACTTTAAGAACCAGTTACCTCAGACCTCATGTCGAACAGTGTCACCCTCCAGGCCCTCGATAGCGCAGGCTTGTCACAGACCCAGGCAGGAACCCTGCCTCGTGTGGGCACTTCTGTGTTGTGAAGGGAGCTCTGTGTTGTGAGGGGGGCGTCTGGCAAGCTCCCCTGCGGTCGGGGGTCTGGAGTGGCATCTGCACGGTGCTTCCTGAGTTCCTCTTCGAATTCTGCCATTTTCAGTATTCTCGCGTCTGGACGGGCAAAGGGATCCCACGGACTGGGCTTGCACACCCATTAGTTCCAAAGATGAGCTCTTGGTAACACATTTCCAGTCGCTGAAGCTCAAACGCCGAACATTCCTTTCAGTGGCAGGCGTCAAACCCACCCTCCACCGCAGTGCATTTGGGGAAGATGTCTGTGGCATATGTTGCTGTGAAATTAGGCCTTTGTGGGATTGGCTGTTTGTCATTTTGATGTATTTTAAATAAATATATATATTTTTTAAAGAGTCTTTTTTACCAGTTCAAAAAGTTTAATTAACCAGCAGTCACCACATCTGAATTTTCGTCTCTGGGGCATGGACAGCAGACCAAGATCAAACGCGGTAACAGCCGAATGACTGTGGGCGTATGACTGTGGGCGGCCTGCAGGTGTGGGGCCCCGAGGCCAGTGTTCCCACTGGGTCCCGACTCCGCCCTCACGGTGTGTGGTCTCTGCCCTGCTCCGCGGACTGTCGCGGACTGTCGACTTGAGTCCCTGCAAGTGCTTTAGCCCAGATGGGGTTTTCTCCCAGCACTGCCGCGAGTCGTGTGTACGTTTAGCCAAATAATTTCTCCTTAAGGGAAAAACGCGCTCGTCCGAATTCTACCAGCAACGACAGAGATGAGTGTAGGAAAGATTAGGCAACAGTTGGGTTTTGATTTGGGAAGCATCCATGTCGCTGTCCCATGCCATCTGAGAGCCGGTGATCATACAGATTCCTGGGCGATCTCAGCTGAAAGTGTTGAGACCGTCTGCGGGGGGAGGATTGTGAAAATGCCAGCGGCTTTCCCCCCCTGTCCTCCCCCCCTTAGAATTCTGTAAAAAGGCAAAGGCCATTGAGTGGTACTTGAGATTTGAGGGTGAGGGTTACCGCAGATCAGAAACGTATTTCTAGATTTCACTTCCACACCACAAATCAACACAATGCCATTTTCAACTGTAGAAAAGAATCTGCTTATGCATTTGACATGATCTTAAGGGCAGCGTCAAAGGCCGAATTTTTCACCTGTTAATGTTTCTCCACATTTGTCCTTGAATCTGAGTCACTCTACAGTACTGTAAACTTAACTTCGCTCGAGTTTGAAGTCAATTCTTGTGAAAAGAGCTCCTGCATGTAACAGATCCGGAAGGCAACATAGCGGCAGGGTACAGAATTTGCTGGACCAATTCTGGAACCAACAGAAAGTGTCACCTCTCATTTGCCATCTTATATATCAGTTTTACCAGCGACTTCTAAATTTGTACATTATTTGTAAGGAGAAGGAAAACCCTAAGACCTGTCTAACTTAGTGGAGAATGTGTGTGTTGGGTTTAGGATGATAGCGAAGTCTTATTGAGCTGTGTTATCTAACTTGTATATAAAAACATTGTAATTATAAAAGTTTGGATTCACCTGTTTCTTGCAGTTTTAAAACCAGTAATTGCAGACTCTGGAAATGTGACTCGTCTATGATTTAAGGCTGTTAGAAGCGAGGAAGCTCTTCAAGTGCTAAAACGAAAGACTTCTAGTTTTTGGCTCAAATTCAGTTAAGTACTGTTCGTATACCAGGATATGTGAGATGTAAATGTAATAGGTCACTTTCACCCTCGTAGCTATAAAATGAAATTTTTGTAGGACAGAAATAGCTTGTACTACTGAATTAACAAAAGTCTTACTGAAATATCATGTTGTTAAAACTATATCTATATATATATATACAGAATTAAGTTTGTTGCTGTTACCCTGTCTGGATTTCAAACCGTGTGCTGATATATATGTTACACACACACATATATATATCATATGCACGCACACATCGAAAATGGCCTAAAGCAGACATCCATGTAATTACAGTTGCAAAATGAAGACGTTTTGGAAAGAACATTGTATCATAGTTCATTCATTTGCAGTGGCTCTTTGTTCCTCTTTCCTGTGGTAATTTTAGAAGTGAGTGTCAAGTTTGAAATTAGCTCTACATTGGGGTTTTGCTGCTTGAACTCTGCACTGGGTCCTCAAACCGATGTGAATGTAGTCCCTCCCTCCCCCCTCAAGGTGTGAAGAAGCAGCCACACCCCAACAGAATAGGAGGACAAATTTAGAACTATTTCAAGTTTTATCTTTTTTTTTTGTATATGAAAATGAAATAAAATAATAATAATAATTTAAAAATCCTGTTGTCTCAATCACTTGGCAGGGGATTGAAGTTTCTTTTCATGGGGATTCGGAATAATTAAAAGGGTGCCCTCCCACTTACAGGGCCGACTCGGACACCTGTGAGTTCCTACTCGGTACATGTGGGGTGGTGGGTGGTTGCGTGCCTAGTCTATCGTGGTCCTGTGGGGAGGAGCTAAGCGGGGTCTCCATCTCCACCTTTTCGAAGCCCAGGGCCCAGGTGGAGACACTGGGCTTCTAAATGAACTGTCTTGGGACTTTGGCTAAGTTCCTTAGGGCAGGGGTATGTTTTCCAAATCTCCCAAGATCCCCCCACCTATATGCCAGTCTTATACTTTACAGGCAGTCCTGAGCCATATTTTTGTAAGCAGAGCGGAGTGCCTAGAAAATGGGTTTCATGCAGGACCGCTGCCGAATACACGCTCTGTCACTCCTAGCCGTGGCTGAGGACCAGGCTCACTTGCTGCGCTATTCAACCACAGAGTTTTGGGGCACCACCCCAGATCTGAATTGGCAAGCCAGCTCTCACGTTTTGGAGTGCCTGACTTCTCTCACTAAGTGAAACGTAGCCTCTACTACCTAACAAAACAAAAACACGGAAAGCCCCAGAAATCACCCCACTGCTTTCTGCAGTGACATTAAAAAATTTTTTTTGGCCGGCGACTAAAACTTGGTAAGGGGAGAAACACCAGCTTTGAATCCTGGTGGGGGTTGATGCCTTTTTGTTTGCCCCTTTATAAGGACTAAATAACCTGCTTGGAATTCTTGGGGACTAATTTCTAATAAAGGAGCCCTTTACTTAGGGAGCAGTTGTCCAGCGTTTGGTTGATGTTCGCTTTTTCAGGTTTAGGAAGTTCACCTTTTATGAGTGAGTGGCCCCAGTGCTGAGCACAGAGGAGAGGAAGGCAAGTTTTTGAATGAGGACCTTGGAGCTGGAAATGCTGGAAGGTTGGTCTGTAGGAGTCCTACGGTCAAGTTTTCCCTCCAACAAAGGAACTTTTTCACTAAAAAAAATTGGACACAGAAGGTGGTTTGGGGGTGGGAGGGAGGGAGGCATCCATACCGCTGCACTCTGATTCAGGATCCTGAGCCTAAATGTTGTACCAAAATTAAAGGAATTGAAGCCCCGGCCGGTGGGCTCAGTGGTTAGAGTGCTGGCCATGCAGTGAAGGGTTCTTGGGTTTGATTCCCGGTCATGGAGTACTGTCTTGTCAAGGAAATCCTTAGGAGGTGCGAAGCTATTTTTATTTTTTTAAAAAAATATATTTCTTTATTGATTTCAGAGAGGAAGGGAGAGGGAGAGAGAGATAGAAACATCAACAATGAGAGAGAATCACCGATCAGCTGCCTCCTGCACACCCCAACCCGGCATGTGCCCTTGGCCGGAATCGAACCCAGGACCCTTCAGACCGCAGGCGGACACTCCATCCACTGGGCCAAACCAGCTAGGGCGCGAAGCTATTTTTGGAAGTTATGATCTGTATGCCGTGGCTTCAAAGCCAGGTGTCCCGAAGACATCCAAGGTGGCACAGGCTTTGGAGTCAGACCTGGGTTAGAATCTCGCTCTGAGGACCTTCGTGTAGCCATGCGCAAGGGGCTTACTCATCTATTAGGTGGGGCTGGGCTAAAGGTATTTTTTTCCCCTCGGGACTGGGTATACACATGACTGAGTTCAAGACCTTCAAGTGGAACCAGGGATGGAGGGGGATGCGGTTGGGCCTCCCGGTGTGTCACCAGGGGGCGCGCGAGGCCCTCCGCGGAGAGGGCGCGCGCGCGCGTGCGCATTCCGGGCCTCTCGGGTCTCCGGAGAGCCTCAGGTTGCGCACGCGCGTCTGGGTCCCGCGGTTGGGATTGGCTTTCAGGCGGCAAAGCCGTGTGCGCGTGCGTGCAGCCCCGGGCCGCGGCAACGATGGCTGCCAAAAGTTTTGCAGCCCGGCTCGCTCGCTCTCGGCGCTTTTTCAGCGGCTTCGTGGCCGGAGCTGTGGTGGGCGCCGCGGGAGCCGGGCTCACGGCCTGGCAGTTCCTCCGGAGTCAGGGCACTGAGGCTGCGTTGGCGGCGAGGGAGCCGGGAGGTGAGCGGGGCCTGCGTCCCCTTCCCCTTCCCCGACCCAGGTGTCTGTCGGGCGCGAGTCCATGTCTCCCTCCTCCCCGCGCGGCTCCCTGCTCGGCCTCCGCTCCCCGCGTCCCCCTAGCCTAGGCTGCCTCTCCCACCCACTTCCTTCCCCCGGGATTCCATCTCTCCTTGCCCTCACCGTGTTCGTCACCGTGTGCGTGAGTTCCTGTCTGCCCGCCCCGGGTTGCTGGCTCCGGAGAGGCGGTCGAGGCTCTGTCCCTCCTCACTCCGGCCGCTGGCGGGTAACGTGATGGGCGTTCACTGAGTGCGGAGGACGGGTGAGCGCCCACGCCGTGCTGCTCTCAGCGTACGGTTCGCAGGAGGAAGGCCAGCGAGCCCGTCTTCAGAGTCTGTCCGAACCCACGCCCGCAGGTGGGCCCGGTCTTACCCTTTCCCCCGCGAGCTCATTGAACGTGCTCCTCTGAGACTCGGGTTAGCAAGAGAGCTAGTCCGTGTATGCAAAAAGCCAGCGACCTCGGTGCCTGAATGATGCCTGAATGACCGGTCCTGTGGTGCCCACTGCAGCCCACCAACCAGGCGGATCAGGGGCGGGCGGCCAACCTCCCCTGTCCCTTCCCCGCCACCGGCCAGGCCCTGATCAGCCCCCATTGGGGCAGCCGGCCAGACCTGACCGTGCATGAATATTTGTTGAAAGACTGGAGAAGGCACCCAGGCAGGTTTATTTTGAAACTGAACTCCCTGTTGAACGCGTGCGGGGTTTCTCCCACTAGGAAAAATACCAGGTTTACTACTGTCTTGCTGCAGCAATACCAGAACCATGAGGCATAATGTCAGTGAATGAAGACCTTTAAAAAAATTGAAGCCCAGGTCGATGTGCTCAGTGGTTAGAGTGTTGACCATGCACTGAAGGGTCTTGGGTTCGATTTCCGGTTAAGGGCAGGTACCTGGGTTGCAGGTTGGATCCCCACCCTGGTTGGGGTGCATGTGGGAGGCAACCAATCAATGTGTCTCTCTTTCTCTCCCCCCATCCCTCCCTATACACTTCCTCCCTCCCTCTCTCTAAAAAGCAATGGAAAAAATATCCTCAGATGAGGATTAACAAATACATAAATAAATTTAAAACGGCCGTGCTTTGGTCCTCACATTAACTCTCTTAAAAAAATGTATTTTTATTGATTTCCGAGAGAAAGGCAGAGGGAGAGAGAAACATCAGTGATGAGAGAGAATCACAGATTGGCTGCCCCTACTGGGGACCCAGCTGGCAGCCTGGGCCTGTGCCCTGACTGGGAATCCAACCGGGACCTCCCTGGTTCATAGGTTCCTGCCCAACCACTGAGCCACGCCAGCCAGGCCCCATTAACTCTTAAGACATCATGAGTAGGGCGGCTCATTCCCATTCAGTCATGCCGGTGACTAGTAATGACAAGAGTTGTTCCTCTGCTGCTTTTGTATACACAGTACTTTGTGGGGCAGCGATTTGCAACTTCGATGTGAAAGACCAGTCAGATCAGGTCCTTATTTGAAAGTGAAGGAGAGAGCTGCAGTTTATCTTGCTATAACTACACAACTGGATATAGGCAAGACCTGCCTTTTGTCTCCAGTCTCTTGTCTGTGTTACAAGTAATTGCAAAAACAAGATCTCTTGGTTGATTAACTTTTGAGCCGGTCCTTTGTAAGTCTTGCCCCTCTTCCTTTACTTACAATTTTTTGTTCCTAATAAGAGTCACTAACTGGGTTATTTTTGTTTTTCGTTTTTAGGTTCTGCAGAAAAGGCTCTCTTGGGACAGTTTGGGTTTCCTCTAACTGGAACGGAGACGAGGTGTTACACTAACCATGCCTTGTCTTACGACCAGTCGAAGCGGGTGCCTAGATGGGTTCTTGAGCATATATCCAAAAGCAAGATCATGGGTAGGTGGTTAGAAGTGAAGGCATCCCTGGAAGGTGTTTCCAGATGTGGAACACGGGGCATTAGCGATCAGCTCAACCTTTTTCACGTGACAGCACGTTTAGAAGATGGTGTTTGTGTAGCTCACTGGATAAACGGACCCTGTCTGGCAGTCAGGGAGCCCCCGACCCTTCCCAGCTGCCTCAGGGGCTGAGAGGATCCATATGTTGACACATAAATATGCCATCAGTATTGCTGCAATAAGCAACATCCATTCGTTATCTCCACAGCTACTTTTAGTGTGTCTGACACGGCTAAATCTTGGGGATAGAGGAGTGACCATGGCACTTTGAGGTGGAGTGGGTGTGGGTTGACTTACCAAACAATCATGAATGTGTAATTACAGTTGGTGATAACTTTTCGGAGGGAAACGTGATTGTAGTTTGGGTTTGTATAATCAAAGAACAGTGGAGAGTACAAGGGATCATAACAGGGGAACCTGATTTTGATTAGCGAGGCTTCTCTAACCAAGTGGCCTAAAGGGGGGATGGCAGAGGAGTCGGGGGGCCATGCGATATGGAGAAGAGCATTCCAGGCAGAAAGAAAAGCACAGTTGCATCTTTCAAGGCCCCAGTATGAAGAGTTGTGTTCGTTTGGGAACTAAAAGAAGGCCAGAGTGGCTGCAGCAAGGGAGGCCACGATGTGACATGAGACTGGAGAGGTAGGTAGGTGTGTGAAGTCTGTTCATGTGTCCTTAAGTCTTGGGAGATTCCTGTAATTAAGACGGCCAGGTCTTGATATTCAATGTCAAATTGATTTCTGGGTAGATTATTTCAATTTACACTCCTGCCATCACTATTTGTCCTCTCTCAACCCTCACCCATAATGGGCATTATTGGGCTTTACCGGTTTGATAGCTGGTTTTACTTGCACTTATTGGTTGCCAGTGAGGGTTAGTATTTTGTGAATTATCCTTTACTATTTTCAGTTGGGATACTCTTTTTTTAAAAAAAATATTTTATTGATTTTTTACAGAGAGGAAGGGAGAGGGATAGAGAGTTAGAAACATCGATCAGCTGCCTCCTGCGCGCCCCCTACTGGGGATGTGTCCGCAACCAAGTTACATGCCCTTGACTGGAATCGAACCTGGGACCCTTCAGTCCGCAGGCTGACGCTCTATCCACTGAGCCAAACCGGTCAGGGCGGGATACTCTTTTTTGAATTGATTAGTAGTAGTTCTCATATATTACGGATATTGCCTTTTGTCATAGTTTTATTCTTATTTGTATTTTGCCTTTTAATTTGCTATGTGGCCCACAAGTTATATCTCCTTTGCTTTGCAGCATGTGCCATCTTTATGTATATAAAAATGCTGCTATTAAAATGAGTGTGTGCCTCCATAGAGTGCACACCAACCAGCATAACAGCAGGAGGCTTGGAATGTGTTTGCCGCCGGAGAGAAGCTGATGAGCAGTTATCATAGCAGTTGAGACTTGATTATAAATTTGCATCAAGGGAAACTCATTTGATTTAGTCTTAAGCCTAATGAGTTTCCTTTAAATGCAAAAATTTTCCTAAGATAATAAGGTATTTTGGCTTGTACTAATTTTATTCTGCCATTAAGTTATTTCTTTCAGGGGCATGTAAGAAAAGCATTGAGTTTCATATAATAAACCCATGAGCTGTGTAAGGTTTGAGGAGGTAAAATAGAGCCAATTACTTATATTTGAAAACAGGAAGGAATGTACCTGTGATTTACTTTAGTTTAATGTAAAGTGTCTTGTTTTTAGTAATGATGAAGTTAATCAGACTAACTCTCCTGCTAAAAACAAGAATGTTATTAGAGGTATGTAAGAAGTATATTTTAAAAAATCACACACTCATGAAAATGCAGAGTCAACAGGATAGTGGAGAATTGCCAGGCTATATATCTAGAATATAGTTTGCATTTCAGATTTGCCAAATTGTTCCAGTTATGTTCTTTACACAGCTTCTTTTGGATCCAGTATCCAATTATGAATCACATAATACATTTAGTTGTCATATGTCTCCAGTCTCCTTTAATTTAGGATAATTTCTCTGCCAAAAAGGAATAGAAATGTCTTTTATGACATTGACATTGACTGCATGAATTATTGGTGATTTTCATCATTAAGATGGCGGTTCCCAACTTATATTTGGGAAAAAGCCAGAATCCAGAGAGGTAAGGGCAGTCCTGGCAAACCAAAGGCAATGTGCCTTTGGTTCTGCAGCCTTATAGGGTGAGGTGGCCTGAAGGCAAGACCTAGGGTTCACCCAAGGTAGACTGTCTTATCGGAGACCCTCCCAACATTAACCTAGAACCCCAGAGGGCTGCACCCTTAGGGAAGGGTAAACCAGAACTAACTTGCCTGCCCACCATGGGGGGCTACATGGCAGGTTGTCTTGCCCTGAGCAGAGAAAGGCTAACAAGTAGAATAAAAAGCTTCTTCTGGGGAAGTTGAGGCCGAAGACTGCCTGAGCAGACCTGTAGCCTGAAGCCATGTAGCCTGGATTGCTCAAGGAAGCTTAAGTCCTGAGCTTGGTTTGAAATGGTCCTCCACTGCTGATGCCTCCAGACACCTGCTAGAAGAAATGAATTTATATGCATGCTCCAGAAGGCATCTTCATCCTAGGCCTTTAGAAATTCCCACAAATGATTTTTCAAGGGCAGTGAGCATCAGGCATGCAAGGAAGCGATTTCAGTGGTAGTGACACTTGGAGAAGTTTACTAATAATTCTTCTGTATACCCAGTAACTTTTTCTTTATGAAGATTCTAAAAAGCTAGGTATTAGATACTTTACTCTGAACCTTGGAATCTAATAATTTAAAAATTATTCCTGGCTGAATGAAATGACATTGCAGTCAGTAACTTTATTGATCTCCATTTTACTTTTTTTTTTTTTTTAGTAGCAGTCTGAGTATATTCCATCTATCCTCATAATTGTTGTAATTTAATAAGCTCTGTCCTAATGATAGAAAATGTAGAGTTAGGATTTGCTGATGTCCACTGTGGCACACTATTCCAGAGGTATCAGAATATAAGTAAAACTGAGATTTCTTCTCTCCCATGTGGTACTTAGATGTTTTATTTCTGGAATTTTTTGGATTGAGCTCATAACTTAAATACTTGTTTTGTCATGGCTTAAGAGGCAGTAAGCAAGATATCAGAGACACTCTCCCCCTCAGCTAGGCTGTGCCTGCCCAGAACAAATTGTTTTGTGTCTATATATATCCTTTATTTCAGTCCATGTAAACTTGTCAAATACAGTCGTACAAAATACAATATATGGCGTCTTTTTAAAAAGCAAGAATTTATTTAGTAGCTAAGCTTTTTATTTAGACAGCTCAGCTATTTAATTGGTTATTGTTTTTATGTAAATACTATTCAGGAAATATTTCCCCCTTTAACTTGAAAGGCTAGAAACAAAAGTATATGAGATAACGACACTGTATGAAAAGCATTCTTCCCTAGACTAGTCCTTGCTCAATTCAGATGAAGTATCTGAACTATCCCAGGAACTTGAGACATGCATGCGGTCACTAACTACTAGCTGCTCAGAGAGAGACTGGCCAGAGCAGCCAGCTTGCCTTGCTTAGAGAATTGTGAGGGACATTGGTCCACTGATAACGTAGTCATTTGTGTGGTTTTCTTCAGGTGCTGCAGACAGAAGGAACTGTAAATTCAAGCCTGATCCCAACATCCCTCCAGCCTTCAGTGCCTTGAACAAGGACTACATTGGAAGTGGGTGGTCACGAGGACACATGGCTCCAGCGGGAAATAACAAGTTTTCATCTGTAAGCATGTTGAGGGGGTGGGATGGGAATGTGGGGCTGGCATTGTACTGGGGGACGTGGAGATTAACCATCAAGCAGCCAAACCTTAAAACTTGAGATTTTCTATACTTTTTTTTTCCCTCCCTGACTTTATTTCTTGCTCAGATGCTGAGACATTTTTAAACAGGTTGAGGAAAACTAAAGCCATGTAAAAGGGAACTGGAAAGCCAAAAGGAGCTAAAGCTACTCGTTTTTATTTTGAAAAATGTCAGACCTGTAGGAAAGTTGAAAAGAGAGTACAGCAAACACATTTTGATATTTACTTTACGTGTGTGTGTGTATAAAATTTTAGCCGTCAACAGACATCATAACACTTCATTTCAAAATATATGGCTTAGGAGATTGTATCATTTAAGAAAGAATATTTGTAGATATGACAAGAGTGTCATTATACCCAAAAATGTGTGCATATGTGTTTTTGTATATTTGTACAATAATTTCTCATATACAGTTTGCATTTCAGATTTGCCAAATTGTTCTAATTATGTTTCTTACAGCTTTTTTTGGATCCAGTATCCAATTATGAATCACATAATACATTTAGTTGTCATATGTCTCCAGTCTCCTTTAATTTAGGATAATTTCTCTGCTAAAAAAGAAGATAAATGCCTTTTATGACACTGACATTTACTGCATGAATTGTTGGTGATTTTCATCATTAAGATAGTGGTTCTCAACTCGAGGTACTGATTGTAGTCACCTAGGGGAGTTTTAAAAATTCCTGATGCCCAGGGCTGTAACCCAGAGCAGGTAAGTCAGAAACTCTGGTGGTGGAATGCAGGCATCCTCACTTGAGGACATACTTAGAAGAAGGGAGAGAGAGAGAGAGAGAGAGAGAGAGAGAGAGAGAGAGAGAGAGAGAGAGAGAAAGAGAAACATCAACTTGTTGCCCTCTGTATGTACCCCAACCAAACCCACAACACAGGTCTGTTCCCTGACTGGGAACCTAACCAGTAATCGTTCCGTGCACAGGATGGATGCTCAACCAGCTGAGCCGCTGGCCGGGCCAGGCATCCATGTTTTTAAAGTTCCCTGGTTTATTCCAATGTGCAGCCAAGGGTGAGAGCCACTGCTGGAAGAGGAGGTAACTGGCTTTGGCAGTTAGTGTAGCTCAACGAAAGGAAATATACTTACAGAGCTCTGTGTCTATGGGTCAGAAGTGCAAAATGAATGACACGTAGTGGCCAGAACAAGAATGTTTCTCTGCACCTTTGAACTGATAAGTTGTACTGTGCTACTTAAATAAAATTCCTAAAAGTTGACCTTTGAAAAATTGTCAGAGGCTTAAAACCAGAATTTAGGGTAAAACTCTTCAGCTTCATATTGGAAACTTTTAGTTCTTAGAATCTACACTATAGGTTTGAATTTTATAAATTATGAAGAAAGCTAGCACACCAATCTTATTTTGAATAATCATTATTGAACTTTGTGTCCCGGCATACCTCTGGCTTTCCTTTATCTAAATAAGTTAATTGCTTAGAGCTAACACATGAATAAGGAGCTGGTGTTCTCTGCTTTGTAAAGTCTCCGGGGGAGAAGGCATTTCAGTACAAGTGACTCTTGTTATTTCTTTTCACAGAAAGCCATGGCTGAAACCTTCTACCTTTCTAATATTGTGCCTCAGAATTTTGATAATAATGCTGGATATTGGAACAGGTGAGGTGAGAGTTTTAAAGGTGTGATTCTGTGGGAGATGAATGATGTGAGGAGAATTTGCTAGTTGCTTATCAGCTGTTTCTGTCTTTGTTTATCAAAAGGTATTTCTACTGGAAGTACTTTCATGAAGTACTTTGGACTAGTTTTCTTTGCTGTATTTCAGGAGTATAGTTTTCTATGGGAGAACAGACTTCAAAACATAGCCAGTCATTTTCATTCTTTTTATTTTATTTATTTTTTTACAGAGAGGAAGGGAGAGGGATAGAGAATTAGAAACATCGATGAGAGAGAAACATCGATCAGCTGCCTCCTGCACACTCCCCACTGGGGATGTGTCCGCAACCAAGGTACATGCCCTTGACCGGAATTGAACCTGGGACCCTTGAGTCCGCAGGCTGACGCTTTATCCACTGAGCCAAACTGGTTAGGGCCATAGCCAGTCATTTTGATCATGTTTGCCATTGGTAAGAAGTCAAATTCTGGAAGGAAATACTATTGCTAAGGCATAAAGTATTTTTTTAATATGTCCAGAAAACACTATGTTTTTCTCTACTTGTATTTCAAGAGTTGCTAGCTTAAAAAAAAAAAAATTGGTACAGTTAAATATAACCATTAACCAGTTTTAAGTCTGTTCTGTCAGGGTATCTCTTTAAGCATTTAAAACTAGCACTGAATGAGACTGTTTCCAGTTGCTGTGTTTTCCCCAAGTAGTACTTTTGTGGAATAAAATGAAGTAACTAAGAGAGCACCTGCACACTACAGCTGACTGCAGTGGTTATCAGTTGGGGCCGCATCTGTGTCATCTACGTACCTCCCCCCCTACCCCCCCCCCCCCACTTACTCTACTCAGATTAGTGTAAGCAGGTCACAGATATGTTATTTTACTATTTCACTATATATTTTTAAAAGATAAAGATTCTTTTAAAATATAACTATGGTACTATTATTGCCACCAAAAATTAATAGTAATTCCTTATTACCAATTTTACAGTTGGTGTTCAAATTTTCCTGATTGTCTTTAATTTGTTGTTGATTGGTTTGAATCAGGCTTTAAACAAGGTCTACATGTAGATTTGGGTGATATTTTTCTTCACTCCCTTATAATTATAAGTTTCCCTTTCCCCCTTTTTTTCTTGTAAATTATTTGTTGAAAATCTGGGATATTTGTCCTACGGTTTCCTTTTCATATTCTGTCTGATTACAAACATATGGAAGTGTTTAACATCCTAAGAGATATATTTTGGGGAGGAAAACTCTACTTTGTTATTGGGCATACATGCTGTGACTTTACTTTTTAGATAATGAAACAGGAATGTGAGATGCATTGTTTTCTCATGAAGCTCAACTGCAGTATAAGAAGTGCATATTGAAACCACTGGCCATTTTTATCCAGGAAATGAGCAAAAACAGTTTTTAAGTGACACATCCCAGTGGTAAAGATTGCTGTAGAACTGCTGTGTCATTTTGCAGTTTATAGAGTAAAGTGGAACAATTCCATTAAAAATATTAGTAGGACATATATATCAAGTGTCATTAAAATACTCAGTAAAGTAATTTTGGCCCTTGAAGTTTATCCTAAGGAATTAATATAATGTTGCATTACATAACAAGTGTTAGGATAAACCCAATTGCCCCACAATAGGAAATTATATATATATAAGCCTAAGCGACCATTACAACCAGTCGACTGAAAGACTGGTCACTATGATGTGCACTGACCACCAGGGACAGATGCTCAATGCAGGAGCTGCCCCCTGGTGGTCAGTGTGCTCCCACAGCCAACCGCCTGCAGCCAGCCAACCTCCCGCAGTCCCTCCCCCCGGCCAGCCAGCCCCAGTCGGCCCTGATCGCCCACCAGGTCAAGGAACCCCACCCATGCATGCACGAATTCGTGCATTGGGCCTCTAGTACTTAAATAAAAAGATCAACTTAGTTGGAATGACACTACATTCTTGTGAAAGTTTAAGAACTACAGCATAGAAAAATAAGGAAGAAAACAGAACAAAATTTCAGTTCTAAAATGAACACAGTGCACACAGAGTAAAATTTAGATAATTGTATTCATGTGTGTGATTTTTAAGTTTTTTTGTGTGGTAAACAAACTGGGAACAGCATTGCTTACATGCTTACAATGTTTTGTGCCATATCTTGTTTATATTAATGTCTCTAATTAAGTATCCTTGGCATCTTTCCTAGGGACTTGGTATGGTTTGCTTCTTTTCTACGTTTAAGCCTGTGAGAATATCATACATTTTTTTGGCATTGTTTTTCAGAATAGAAATGTACTGTCGAGAACTGACAGAGAGGTTTGACGATGTTTGGATTGTATCTGGACCGTTGACCTTACCTCAGACTGGAAGTGATGGAAAGAAGATAGTTAGTTACCAGGTAGGGACATGTTTTAACATTCAGGCTTATGCTCTTTGTATGAGATTATAATCTCCTGGTTTTCATTTCACTTATTGAACAGAATTAACAGTTATGTTTGCTAGCTATAATTTAGTCCAAGCTTTGCCTGTATCAGAGGTTATAAGCTGAGGCTTTATTTGGTTTGCATAGGATGTTGTTTTGAACTAGTTGATAATGTTTAATAATTGGGAGTTGTCACATAAATCCAGATTTCAGCTTCCCCTAAACACGTCAGCTGACTCGGTCACACGTGGCATGGATTCCCACAGGCACGCTCACTAGATGAGAGCAGCCGCTTGCTCCTGGGGCTGGGCGCATGCTCTTCGGTTCACCGTAGTCCACCCGGCCCGTTTCACCATTTACATTTTCCCTTTAGCCCTTGGCCATTGAGTTTATAATCCTGGGCCTATCGAAAATATAAAACCAGCATTTATAGTATCATGAATGTGTAAGTAGTTTGTTTGGACTTGTAAAGAAGTAGATATAATCCTGTATCATTACGGCTATGCCACTTGAGATGAGTATTGCCACAAGCAAAAAACTGAGAAGTGGAAAGTAAGGTGGCAGTGTACAGTATTATAATTACTGTTCTTAAAAATGTAATACTATGCTTTTACTTTCTAATTCAGAGCATTTAACCTTATCACTATTTTTTTTAAAAAAAAGGTAAATCAGTTTCTTCTTGAGACATTATTCTTGGAGCCCCTGACTTCCTTTCTAATTTAGACTACTTGTTAACTCCCTCCTTCCCTCCCTCCCTCTCTCTATCCCTCCGCTCTCCCTCCCTTTTATTCAACAAATATTTCCTAAGCTTCCAAGATATACCTGGTGCTGTTCTGTGTGCTTCTGATACAGCAATAAGCAAGGCTGTATGTCACATGGAGGTTACAGTATAGTGGAGGAGGTACACCATCAACAAAATGCCCAGGAAAAATAAGACCTGTGGAGAGTTATAGTCGGGGAGGGAAGGAAAGGCTGGGCCACTCGGGGAAGTGAGGCTGAGCGGAAATCTCAGGGACATGACGGAGCAACCCATGTGAAGAGTTGCCAAGCAGGTGCAAGACACGGGCGCGATTTAGCTCAGTGTGTTCAGGAACAGCTAGAATGCCAGTGTGGCTGGAGCCGAGAGCGCACTGAGGGGAAGGGGTAAGTCACGGAGGGAGGCACTGGGAGGAAGTCTGGGTTGTGTTAAGTGAGGTAGGACACTTGTAAGGTTTCCATCAGGACAGTGGCATAATCTCGTTTACATTTTTAAAGCCCAGGCTGGCTGCTGCACGTGAAGAACAGGAAACGAGGTGGAAATAGGGGACCAATTAGGCGAATGGAATGGTCTAAATGAGGAATAATGACTTGAGTAGGGAGGTGGTGGTAGAAATGGTGAGAAGTGGTCTGATGTAGGATGTGCCTTGCAGGTAGAACCCGTGGGGCTTCCTAGTGGATTAGTAGTAGAATAAGGGGGAAAGAGGCAAGGATAGCACCTAGGTTTTCAGTCTGAGATCATGAAGACCAGAGTGGGGCAGGTTTAGGGGCTAGATAGAAGTTGGGTTGTGTTTTGGCTGTATGCATTTGAGATTGCTGATGTGCACATGGAGACTGAATAGTTAGGCTGTGAGTTTGGATTTCAGAGGAGAGGCTGTTGGGACTGGTCAGCACACAGATGGTATTTAAAGCTCTAATGAGATCATGTGAATGAGTATAGATAAAAGAGGACAGATCTGAGGTCCGGACCACAGAAAACTCAGGCCTTTAGAGCAGCGGTTCTCAACCTGTGGGTCGCGACCCCTTTGGCGGTCGAAGGACCCTTTCACAGGGGTCGCGTAAGACCATCCTGCATATCAGATATTTACATGACGATTCATAACAGTAGCAACATTACAGTTACGAAGTAGCAACGAAAATAATGTTATGGTTGGGTCACAACATGAGGAACTGTATTTAAAGGGCCAGGAGATTGAGAACCACTGCCTTAGAGGTTGAGAGGAGGAGGATCGCCCAGCAAGGGAGACAGAAGGAGCAACCTCTGAGGCAGGAGAAGAATCAGTGGGGTCCCACATGGCAAGTGACGGAAGCACTTCAAGGAAGGAATGATCCGTGGAGAACTGATGCAGGATGCAATCCAGGATGATGCATTTAATCTGAAACAGTTAGTCCTGCAGCCTTTTTGTCTTTAATGACGTTGACATTTGAAGAATACAGGCCAGTTTTGCAGTATGTTCTCAAATTGGGTCTATCTGTTGTTTCCTGGTGGTTTGGTTCAGTCATGTTTCTGGCAGAACACCACGGCGGTGCTCCTGTGTGCGCCTCAGTGCGTCGTTTCAGGATGCATGTGATTTGTTTGTCCTGCTATTGACGATAATAGCCTCGGTCACGTGGTTAAGGTGGTCTCCTGCAGATTCAGTCACTGCTCAGTTACCATTTTCCCCTTTGAAATGAAGTAGTGATCTCTGGAAATACTTTGAGACCATGTAAATTTTCTTCCCTTCACCTGCTAGTTTTAGCACCTGTTAATGATTCTTCCCTGAATCAGTTATTACTATAATAGTTGCCAAATGACGATTTTCTAATTCTTATTCCTTCTGCATTTTTAAAAAATCTTCACCAGAGCATATGTTTATTGATATTAGAGAGAGAGGAAGGGAGAGAGAGAGAGAGAAACATCTATTGGTTGCCTGCCACACTCCCTGACTGAGAATCGAACCCGCAACCTTTTGGTGCCTGAGACAGCGCTCCAACCACCTGAGCCACCCCGTCTGCTTTATTAGTTGACCTTCTACTGAGGAGGAGCTTAGCCTTCATATTATCAGCGTGAACTCATGGGCTCTTAGTTTATTCAGTGAGTTTTAATCAGTTTACTGTGTATTCATTTTGATGCTCAGGTTTTCCCATATTGGGCAGTGGAGCTCCTCCCAGCTGTCGCCTGTGTCCTTTTGACACATTCTAATCATTTTAGCATTTCCTGCTTTCTGGGGTAACGTGATTTCCCAAGCTCATCTTGGCCAAACTCTGGGATTATCCGTTTTTCCGAGAAGCCCTCGTTCCTTTTAATGGAGGTTGGTATTTAGAAACCAAGATCTGGATGACAAGTTGATTCTTGAGTGCTCGGTCGGCTGTTTGGCTTGTCATGTGTGTTCACCACATTTATTTTTAGCCTTTTATAATAGGCGGGGAGAGCCTTAAGAAAGAAGCATGTGAATTCTGTTGCTTTAGTGGCTCGCTATTGGGAGCCTTTTTTCTCCATTTTCCATTTTTCTCTGGTTTTTGAGAATGAGATTTATAGTTCCTGGTCATAAAGAAAGCATACTGTGTGTGTGTGTGTGTGTGTGTGTGTGAGAGAGAGAGAGAGAGAGAGAGAGAGAGAGGGAGGGAGGGAGAGAGAGAGAGGCGGGGAGGTGGATGTGAATGTAAAGTTGAATGTTAATAGGAATCTATATTTCTAGTGAGGCATATAGTTTTTCATTCTTTCTTGGAATTATATCAAAGTAAAATATACCTTTATATATTTTACTTTTTACTAACAATTTCTCTGTAATCAACTAACAGCTTTTGTTAGATTTAGCATTATTTTTCAAATGGAACTTGCTTTCAGGTGAAATTTTAAACTTAAAATCTTTAGCATATCAGCATATATCTATGTCTATATCTAAAGCAAAATATAATCCCTGAGTAAATTGGAAAAATTGTCTCAGAGCTTGGCACTTTAATTGGGCTAGAAATTTTTTATGTGTGTATGGACAAAAAATTTGGTTAAGGAAAACAGACATGGGAGGAAAACAGAAGACAGAGAAAAAGGTAGGATGTGTGCTGAGAAGCAGCGAGCTCCTGACATTTGGGTTGGAGCGTTCATATTAGGAAAGAGACAGAAATAGAAGGAAAGGTGGCTGGGGCCAGGTGTTAAAAACCTTGAGTGCCCAGGTTAAAAGTTCAGCTGTTTGCTAGCAATTCACGTAAAATAGTTGTGGGCAAAACCATGTCCGTTAGCGATGCTGAGAGAGAGGGCCCAGCATTGCCCAGCCCGAGATGGCGGTCTGTTCCTCCAAGGAGTAAATACTTGAATTGTGAATTCTTGTTTCCCAGGGAATTCCCAGTGCCCAGAAGCATTTTGTTTTCTCAGATCCCGCCTTTTAATATTTACTGCTTATTTACAAGTATTCTCTGAACCGTATCTTAGGAGAATGTACCTAATAAAAGTAAGGGTATTTATTTAGATTTCTATGTAGCATGAAGCATACATGTGTATACTTTGGAGGAAATGCAGCACATGAACTGGTATTTATTGAGGGCCATATAGACCACACTATAAGTAGCTCTATACATCTCTCTCATTCAGTCCTCACAAACAGCCCTCACATCCAAGTAGTCATCTTCTGTAGGTAAGGAAATTGAGGTTTCGAGGGGTCAAGTCCAAGTCGCATAGCTAGTAATTGTCGAAGGCGAGATGCAGGCGTGGGTCTGCCTGCTTGTGTGAGAATTGCCAGTTATTCGGAGCACTGTTCTCTGAAGCTCTCAGAAGTCTCCCGAGGGGTTGCTGCGCTCTTCATATACAGAAGCTGGAGGCCAGGAGGTAAAAGATAGTGTGGCTGGAGAGCAGTTAGGAGTGATTTTTGCTAGCGCACAAAAATAGCAGAAAATGGGCCAAGAGGAGGATTCCTGACAGGCAGGCAGAAATGTCCCGAAGAATATGTAGGGAAGGATCACAGCATCATAGGACTTGCGTGAATGTGAGCCTCAGGGGATGTAAGTAGCAGTGATTTTACCAGAAGTGAGTCACCTGACAGCTCTAATCAGAATCACCCCCTTTATTATAGCTGAGGCCATCCATGTGCTCGCTCTGATGTGCGTGTTTCCAGAAGAGACCGATTCCACACAAGACAAACACACCGGAGGATTCTGGCCTGAGCATTCTAATTGATCTGACAACAGAGTGAGCTTCAGGTTTTATGACCCGGTGGTGCTGGTAACAGGTGCTCAACAGTCTGTGTTCCCTCTGCAGCATTACTTACCAGCTGTCACCCACTCCTGGAGCGCAGGGCGTGGAACACATGCCCAGGGATCTTAAGGCATCACTTGAAGTGATCAGGGAGTAATTTAAAAAAAAATTCCTTTTTTATCTTTAGGCAAACCTTTTCATTTTTGTATCTGTTTTAATTGAAAAATTATCTTACTGGTTAATATTCAAGTAGAATTGACATCTGGGAAGACAGGGTTTGTTTTACGGTGATGTGGCAGTCCCGGTGTCTTGCCCAGAGCAGGTACCCCAGTGGGAGAGGCCTGTCTCCCAGGGTTTGCACAGCTGCAGCACCTGCAGAGACTTTACAGATGGCACACGGGCTGGCCACGTTCCTGCTGACTTTCCACACTTATGTGAGTCCCTCTTTTCTTGTCCTCTGTCCTCTCAGGTATGGAGTCCCGATTTATGGCATGACTAGAGGCCCAATGCACAAAATTCGTGCAAGGGGCTCGGCCCTCGCAGCCCTGGCTTTGTCCGGAAAGTCATCCGGACAGTCGTTCTGCTGTTCGGTCTAATTAGCATATTAGCTCTTTATTATATAGGGTCATGGTTTCTTTCACTTGATTGGCATGACTTTTTTAAGGGCTTGGTCTCTCGATGTGTCCAAGAGTTTTATTTTTGAAACCCCAGTATCTTATGTCTGTCTGGTTCTAGCAGGTACAGATGTTTTTCTCACGATCCCACTTAGTAGTTCACCTGAGGCCTAGTTGATGTGAAGAAGGGCAGACTTAGACTGGGTATTATTTGCTGCTGGTGTCTTTGGTCACTGATACATCACGAAGGCCCAGCTCTGTGTGTGTGGATTTGGGGGTGGGGATGGAGGTGGGGGAAAGCAGCAGATGGTCATTTCTGTCTCTTACACGGAAGGAAACACACCCAGGCCAGCACAGACTAAAACTAACTTCAAGTCCCGAGTGAGTGCCAGCGTATAGTTGTATCTCTAGTCACTCCCAGCTGATTTCCAGTTTTTGTTACCATCTGATAACAGTTCAGTGCTTTTTGGTATTTGGACAGCAGCAAGGATTTCTTTGTAAAGTATTTTTATACCGAAGTCGTCTGTGGAAAGGGTTTCGTTTGTGTTAAGTCTTCGAGTCCTCTGCTTAGGGCATCATTTGCATCCATGCTTTCTCCTCCTGAAACCTAGTGGCTCCCTTAACTGGTCTCATCTCGCTCGACCCAGGTTTCCCCTCGGTCCCTCTGCAGAACTATCTTTTGTACCAATTGTGTTCTTGTCTTTTGAATGATATGCACTACAAAAATAGCTTGTTTATTGAAGTCTTGCAGATTTAAAAGTCTCCTTTTTCTAATGAACATGTCTGTGTGTCTTCATAACTATCCTCTGAAATAGGCAGTTGGGGTTATTACCTATTTTATGAATCAGTGAAGACGATCCTGGTGGGCGAGTCTTACAGCTTCAGAAAGCCAGGACTGAGCAGGTCTCTGGGATTTAGTACCCTACCACTAACTCTGCTTCAGTACCCTCGTAGTGTCCAGAAACACTTTCTGAAAGTCTTCCAGTTTCCTCAAAAGTGGAAAAATTTATTATGTAGGTTGAATTGTCTACAAAGAAGATGGTAGCTCTAAAATACTTCAGGATTGTTTTTAAGTCTTAAATTCAAGAAAGAAACAATGGGCTTTCTCAATTTCCAAATAGGACTGGTTTCTGTATTGTCTTAAAGATGTTTACTTCCTGAGAACAAAGCGGACTGAATCAAAAAGGATAGTGAGTGGCTAGGTTTTCATTTTTCTCTTTATTTCCAGGGATAGTGTTTCCCCTCTTTGTTGAAATAGTGTGAGAAGGTCGTGGTGGGAGAATCACGCCTTGTGCGTAGCAGGAACTTCTTGGTCTCTGAGGTTCCTCGAAAGCAGTGCTAGAGGTCCTCTGGGTGTTGTGAGAGTTTTTGAAAACCTAATAGAAATGTTATATTTCCTTGAGGTAAAACGATGGCTCTTAAAATGTCAAACTTACTTGCTTTGGGCTGGAATTTAATGAACTGGATTAGAAGCCCTGGTTGGCAGCAGATGAACCTGACCAATTAATTGTTTTTGAAAATCGCCATTTGTTTGTAGACAGAGAGCCCCTGAGGAGAGAAAACAATCAAATGGTGTCCAAGGTTCCTTTCGGTTGGTCTGAGAGCTGTACTGTAGTGAGGGAGGATGTCCACCAGGTGGCACCAAGGATTTGCTCAACCTCAGGCTCCCCAGCTAGTGCCTGGAACGCTTGATGCCCGTATAAACTCCCCCTGGTTCAGCTGCAGCTGTGCGGGCCGTCCTGGTCCCTGACTTCCCTGCACCGGCCCCTCAGGGCTGTTGCTTGTGCTCTGTAGTGGTGTCTCACCTCATCCTACCTGCAGTGAAAGCTGTGTGTGGATTCCTCCTAGAGATGGGAAGCTTCTGGAGAGCAGGTATTTACTTTAAAGCTTTATCCCTGTGTTTCCAGCAGTGCCAGGCACAGGACCCTGGGGTTGCACAGTTGAATTAACATCTGCTGGTGATCTCTGGGCTCATTGTAGACCTCCATGGAGTTTGCCTTCAGTGTGTTTTTGCCTTGAAGTGTTTTCCTCCCAGCTGCATACATGACTTGTTGGAGGGGGTGGGGGTTTTGTGTCTATAGATTGTATAATTTCATAGACTTTAAACTGCTCCCTGATCAGCCATTTTCACTAACTTCAGAGGCAGTTAGTTATAGAAATCTTTCCTGGGATGGGTCTTCCCTGCGGCTCTGCACGTGGTGTTGGCAGTGGGACCTCCGTACGTGCCAGACAGCAGATGGCCACGGAGCTCTCAGGCTGCGTGCCATGTAGGTAGGAGCCTGGGGAAAGCAGAGAGAGCCCTCTGCGGCTCTCGGCCCTCTGCCTCATCTGGCCCCGCAGGGCCCCCGCACCAGCAGGGTTGCTCGGGCAGGAGGCCTGAGAAGGGCAGGGGGCTCCGAGCACAGTGGTGCTGGATTGTGTTGTTGTACGAGAGGCCATTAAGGAAATGCATGTGCAGGTTTCTTTCTGAGAAAACAGATGTGGCTTCTAAACCCACTGGAAGGAGATTTGAAGGTCTCATCACAGTGTTATTTTATCACGATAGCCAAGCTTCACGAGCAGCCATGTTGTTTCCAGGCCTGGCCCAGGCCCTCTTGCTGTGTGGACACCTTTGCAAAGGGTTTGATTTGATGACCTGCAGAAGCTGTGTCTGGCCCCAGCGTGTGCAAGCCTCCCAGCATGCAGCGTTTACATTTACTTCATTTTAAAGTAAAGGCTGTTTGTTGAGCTCCCTTGTGAATTTGATAAACTAAGAGCATCTTTTGATTTCTAGAGCGGGAGTTCCAAGCTGGCAGTTTGACCTTTAAATGTTTAGAGACCAGAAGTTCTGATTGTGAGATGAAGTGACAATTACAGCCTTTCCTGTCCATTGAAAACCGAGGACTCTGGCATCCCTTTGTCCTACAAACAGAGCAGGGCTGTGACCCGGCTCTGGGGTGGCGTTATCTCTAAGACTGTGATCAGACACTGCCTACTAAATGCTCATCTTCCTTGTGAGTCTGTATTTTGGTTTATTTTTACCTTTGGCAGTTGAATGTAAGTTCATTGTGATGGGGTATCTTGTCAGTGCATTTTTAGAAATGCATCTCACGTTTTCACAGGAAACATTTGGGAACTGCTAGCATCGATTAGCATCACTAATAGGGCTGCCTTGTTTTTAGGTGATCGGTGAGGACAACGTGGCGGTCCCCTCACACCTTTATAAGGTGATCCTGGCTCGCAGAAGCCCAGAGTCGACGGAACCGCTGGCACTAGGGGCCTTCGTGGTGCCCAATGAAGCCATTGGCTTCCAACCTCAACTCAGTGAATTCCAAGTGAGCCTTCAGGACCTGGAGAGATTGTCGGGACTGGTGTTTTTCCCTCATTTGGACAGAACGAATGGTATCAGGAATATCTGTTCTGTGGATACCTGCAAGCTCCTGGATTTCCAGGAGTTCACTCTGTACCTGAGCACAAGAAAGGTTGAGGGAGCCCGATCGGTCCCCAGACTGGAAAAGATCATGGAGAACCTGAAGAACGCAGGGATTGAGCCCGATGATTATTTCATGACCTGCTATGAGAGGAAACTGGAAGAACTCAAAGCTAAGGAGCAGGCAGGACTCCCGGAGAGAAAGCCGTCCTAGTGTTCACCTCGGAGTGTGGTGTTACTGCAGTGAGACACATGCCCTCTTCAGGCTCATGTATTTGAGAGGCTTGCTTCTTTGAAAAAATGATGGAATCCTAAATTTAGGACTAAACTCCCTAAAAGACGAAAGAGCTAAACCTTTTTGGTTAGTATTTTATTTGATGTGGAACTAACTTAAAGGAACTGCAACACCTGTTGATCCGGGTCAGCCGGAGGACTGTGTGTGAGATGGCGAGATCGTGCCCCTCGGAGTGTTCTGTATGGGAAGCATCTTACCTTCTCGTCTCCGGGTCCACAGTCTCTCATGCATCAGCTCGGCGCTCTTGGAACCCAGCGTTGTGCTGCGTTTTCCTTCTTAGGACCTGAGTGGGTCTTAGAGAAGCTGTTGGAGTGCCTCTGTGTTACCCTGTCGACAGGATGACGCTGGGCAGGGCAGAAGCAGATTTACGGTTGTTCATACAATAATGTAATAATAATACAGATAAACTTTCGCATACTCACAACTGTAGGCCTGCTTTAGGTCACCCGTGTATTTGTTTCTGGTTGCTCTTCTCATGGGCCTGCGATTTCTGCCGTAGGCCCTCTGAGGTAAATACCACTCTCCTCGTTTGACTCGTGAGGAAATATGTGGGTAAATCCAGGGTTTACCTTTCTGAGGAAGTGACCCCCCAGGAATGAGGCACAAGGACTAAGAAGGAGCCACGAGGTCCGTTCAAAGCTTCCCCTACACACAGGCTTTGGACTCAAATACGGGATTTGCTGGGTAAGAGGCGTCTGGTTTCTTGTCTGTCCTCAAGCCAAAGGGGCTTCACTGTCCCCTGGCTCCCGCCCTCTTTAGCTCTTTGGGAAGAGAGAGTCACCGGGATTGGAAGGTTGGAGGACGTCTTTGTGGGTTTAGCAGAGTCCCTGCTGGCCTGCGGAAATGCAGCTCCTTTCAGGCTCCATGGTGCCCAGTGCGTGCGCTCCTTGCTTTCCAGCTGAGCCTTTTGTTCCACAGATTAAGGGACCCAGGAAGGCTCTGTGCACCGACTCACCTGCTCATGCTTTGTGCCTGTGTCTGCCTGGGTAGCGCAGGGCAGGTGGTGTTTGCGCCAGTGGCCCAAAGGCAGTTATCGCTGGGGGAACGTGTTTGCTGAGCCAGATCCCTAGACTGGGGTTTGCGAGGCATCTGTCATGGGCGTCCTAAGGATAGGCAGTGAGATGTCAAATCAGGACCCAGGAACTTGTCTGAACGTGCTACATCACTGCTGCCGTTCCAAGTGGTGTCACCAGAACAGAAATGTCTCTCACGAAAATGCCAAGGCTTTAAGGTAAAGGCAAGATGACAGGGATGAACCGTGTTCTGCTTTTTTTTGTGGCTAAAGAAGAAGTGGGGGGCCGACAGAACAGGGTAGTCTGATTAATACCGTCCTCTTAGCACACTGTTCCCCATTAGCTGTGCCAGCCTCTCCCCAGGGGTAGAGAGCCAGCATGTCACTGTGACCAAAACAGCTGCTACTTTCCTTGCTGGCGAGGTGACAGAGGGTCCCAGTGTTTCTCCAGGAGCCTGAGCAGGGCTCTGGGGAAGAGGTCCTGGTGCCCGCCGCCCGCCCTGCCACCGTGCTGTTCGGACCTGAATATCCACAGCCGCCGAGCTTCTGTCCTTGCTGTGCAGGGACTCATGACTTTTAAGTCAATATAGTATCTTAAGTGTTTACTCACTTTGTAAAATACTACCTGATCATTGTGAAAAACAGAGATAACTGGTTTAGAAAGTGCAGTGGCCCTATCATTTTACATGTAGACGTTTTGTTGGTATACAGTGGTGATGTTTGAATGGCCTCAATGTTTCAATTAAAAGTCCCAGCAAAACAAACTTTAAAATGGAAATACTGGGCAGAGCTTAGAATTGCTCTGGATCAGCCCATTTCAGCCTCCCCCAGTGGGACTGGGATTATCTGAACCCAGATGCACAGACCCCCTGGGCCTCTCCATGGCATAGTGGCCTCGGACGCACAGACCCCCTGGGCCTCCCTGTGGCCTCGGACGCACAGACCCCCTGGGCCTCTCCATAGTATAGTGGCCTTGGGTCCCCACAGACTCCCTGGGCCTCCCTGTGGCCTCAGATGCACAGACCCCCTGGGCCTCTCCATAGTAGAGTGGCCTTGGGTCCCCACAGACCCCCTGGGCCTCCCTGTGGCCTCAAATGCACAGATCCCCTGGGCCCCTCCATGGCATAGCGGCCTTGGACGCACAGACCCCCTGGGCCTCTCCCCTGCATGACGTGTGTCCATCTGATCAAAGGAGCGCCTCACATGGAACCCAAGCGTATCACCATCCAGTCGTCCCTTCCTGAGTTCTGCCATATTCTCAGGCTGAGCCTGGGACCCTGCCTTCTGCTTCATGTACACCCAGGGATTCTTTTCTCAGGGGAGGCTGCAGGGGGGAAGGGCCAGTCCCGTCTGGTGGGCTCTGCTGCTGGAAGCGTCTGGGTGAGGGGCTCACTCCCTAATCAATGTCTATCCCTCGCGACATTTTTATTTCGGTCTCTGGATTGAGACTGTGACACCAATATGTACACATAACGCAATTACAGGGATGTGAGGGAAATGAGCTTCTCCCGTGTAACTTGCTAGAATTCATTTCAGTGGAGCTGGTCAGGGGAGGCCTCGTGACAAGCACGGACCTCCTGCTCCCGCTGCCTCCATGCCCAGCCTCGGTCTGGCCTGCTTTTCTGGATGTCCTCATGGAGATCATCGAGGAGTCCAGCACTGACTGCTCCAGGCCAGCCCCACCTCCAGGGACCCACCCCGGGGTTAGAGAGGGCCGAGCAGGACGAACGGCGCTGTGACATGGCTGTGTGTGACTGGATGTGCTGGATGGCTTCTCCTGTGAGTTCCTGAGTTTGCCAACACGGCCCAGGGACTGGTCGGCCCCTGAGTGCACAGCACCTTATGGGGCGCTGTGGCCTCTATCGCACCCAGAGACTCCAGACCAGAGCCTCAGCCGCGAACACCGCCCCAACACAGCCTCAGGCTCTGCAAGCCACTAGCCAGCCTCATGGCGCTGCAGGCTCCCGGGCCACACGGGACCGCAAGGCTGTCTTGTCTGTGGGCCTCACGGGCTCCCATCAGAGCCCAGGTAGCTTACCTCCCCCCACCCCATTTTTTGAAAAATTTCAAGCGTATGAAAAGTTGAAAGAAGAGTACAATGAATGCGCTCGGCCTCAATATTTTCTCCTTTGCTTTTTAAAAATTCATTCATTGTTTTAAAAAAAGTTGTAGACATGCACTTCTCTCTCTAATACTTTGACCTGTATCACCTCGGAACAAAGCCACTCCCTATATTTCCAAAATACTATTAGTATCACATGTAAGAACATTACCAAGAATTCAGTATTATCTAATAAACAACCTCTCTTAGAATTTGCCCGGGTGTTCCCAGAATGTCTTCATATTTTTTAAGACATCTAGGCCTCAGTCGTTTCATACGTTGTATTTTGTCTAGTCTCAATCTAGAACCGCCTGCCTGGCGAGCTTTTCCAATCCCACGCTTGGAGATTTTGATTCAGTAGATCTGGTGTGAGGCCAGAGTCTATATTTTTAAACAAGCAGTACTGGCGGTTCTAATGACCGACCGGATTTGGAACCAGACCATGCCCTGCATTGCCCCCCCCCCCCCCCCCCAGACACACATTCCCCAGGCAGGAGTCCTGTGGCAAGCAGGTGGTCTTGTGAGCTTGTGAAATATCAAGGAGAACTTCCCCCCATCCCTTTTGTCCCCCAGGTACCCAATTCGCTGTGTGGTAGAGCTTCATCACATTAAGCCGAACCCCGCCCCCCCGCCCTGTATAACTCCTACCCGTCAGTTACAAGTCCCGGGGGCCGTTCCAGGCTCACAACTAGCTGGCACTTGCTTTCACCTGATAGTCCTTTAGAGCTAGGAAGCTCCTGAAGACATCAGGCCTTCTCATTCCATGCTCAGGCATCCTGGATTTCAGACCCTAACCTTGGCTGCACATTAGAATCACCTGGGAATCTTTTTAAAATCCTGATTTCTGGGCCTCATCCTCTGGGAATTCTGTTTCTCTGTTGCTAATGTTGTGGCCTCACCCCATAACAAAGAAACAGAATTTCCGGAGGATGAGGCCCAGAAATCAGGATTTAAAAAAGATTCCCAGGTGATTCTAACATGCAGCCAGGGTTGAGAACCACTGCCCTACACCATCCTGATTAAGGCCCTGGTGGCGTGGCCATCACGTCTGGGCAGAGCATTCAGGCTGCGGTGAGAGTGCTGACCGAGGGGATGACCTCCCTCGTGAGGCCACCATCTTCTCACTTTACCCTTGGTTCGCTGGGAACCTGCGCCTGCTAACCAACCGCCTCGGGTCTTTGTCACATGATCTACTTTCAAATCACTTTCCCATCAGGCACTTACATAGACAGTTTTTGGAACACAAATACGGGATTATGTGTATGCCCCGCTGTTAAGATTTCATTTTATTGCAGTTTCTACTCATCGTCAAGCACGTTCACATTCCTGATGACCCCGATTTGGCCATCTGACTGTTAGCTATGCCTCCCAGCTTTGAGATGGCAGATTGGGTAAACAAGCCTTCCACGTGTCCGTTAAAAACATGGAACGAGCCAGAGCCAAGGAAGATCCCTTTGGTAAAAAAATTCATTTTACCGAGCGACCTGCTTTGCACACCCAGCAGCCTTCACGGGATAATAATGTGCTCTGATATTTTCTTTGAGTTCAGTTCTCTCCTATTTCTTGGGAAAGAAAAACACTAAATTGATTGCACGATGCAGAAATAGGTCTCCATCAGTTTACCTGTGAGCCACTGTGGGGCAGAGCGCGCGCCTGCCGCATCTCTGGGAACACAGCGAGGCGGGCCAGCGCCTGGACGCCTGTGGCCTGTGGGGAGGCACAGGCACCAGCGGGGCGGCCTTTGGCAACGGACTCCATCGGAGTCGAGCTCCTCATCTGGGGACAGGTGAGGACTAAGAGGACAGGGAGTCCGGCAAGCCCCCTGCTAAGTGGGAGCCGGTTGTTGTGAATTCTTTTTTTAATATATATATATACATACATACATACATATATATTATTGATTTTTTACAGAGAGGAAGGGAGAAGGATAGAGAGTTAGAAACATCGATGACAGAGAAACATCAATCAGCTGCCTCCTGCACACCCCCTACTGGGGATGTGCCCGCAACCAAGGTACATGCCCTTGACCGGAATCGAACCTGGGACCCTTCAGTCCGCAGGCCAAACCGGTCAGGGCTATTGTGAATTCTTGGGAATGATGACCAGTTACTACCATAGACCATGTGTCCCCCCCAAAAAAAATTTGTATGTTGAAACCTAATCCCCAATGCGATGGTCTGGGGAGGTGGAGCCTTTGGGAAGTGAGTAGCTCTGCTCTCATGAATGGGATTAGTGCTCTTATGGAACAGGCACCCAGGGAGCCCCTCTGCCCCTTCCATCATATGAGGGGACACGGCGGGAGGACAGCAGA